TATTATATGTATAATATTATGTTATATTTACATTATATATTTCCCCATTTTAATACAGGCTTAAATATCATTTAAAAAAATATGATAAATAAAATACGTGTTTAAATACAATAAAGCCTGAATTCCTATTCCTATATAAAAAATTTCAAAATAAAAAAAAATTAAAACATAACATAAACAAAATTATTGTTTTCTTTAAATTGAAACAAAAAACATAAAATAAAATTTAAAAAAAAAATGTATTTGTTTTATTTTTAATTTAAAATTATTTTTTTTTAAGTCCATGTCTTTGTTCTAGCCAAATCCATTTGCTCGTCAAACCCATTGATAACATTCAATGGAATATCTTTCTCTCACAGATTCAAAGCGTTAACAAAGCCGAAATCAAACAAAACAAATTAAAAAAAAAAAAATAATTAAATAATTTACAATGTTATTAAACATGTCCGAAGAATGCACAATTGCTGCTCCAATGGAATACATAGAACACTGAATTAAAAATGCATTCATTTCGCTATCTATGGAGCAGACATAATTACATTAATCTATTATTTATTGTTTCAAACGGATCATGTATGCCAAATCTAAATATGCCCCACACGCGCTGCTCCACATAGAGTACAAAAAAGGAAAAAAAAGAAAAAGGGAACCCAACATCCCACCATATGTGTGAGTGTGTGTGTGTGATTGCGGGAATTTTTTCATCTTTAACCAACTTGATGTGTGTGTGTGTGTCAGCAAGTATTTGCAGCGCGTGCCTTTTGGCGTCCATGTGGTAACACACATTTATACCACCAGCCAGCCAACAGACACACTCACCCACACCCACAGGCACTCACACACACACACACACACACACACAGAGACCTCGCTCACCTATGCATAGAAAGAAATGTTTGCCTTAAATTACCGCCAGGCACACTTGCCTCTCCGCTCACCAACTTTATATATGTTTGTTTGTTTGTGTGCGTGTGTGTGTGTGTGTGTGTGTGTGTGTGTGTGTGCGTATGTGCTGGCGCGTGTGTGTGTGTAGCCGTGAGTCGCAAAACTTTGTCATTTAGTTAGGTGTAAGTTAGTTTTTGGCTTAGCAACGCCAACAGTAATACTAAAACACTTTAAACAGTTGCCATGGGGTCGCCGGATTCCGGCTAAAGGAGTTCTACGGAGAGAGTTTGCGTAATTTAGTGCAGTTGCAGAATGTGCGTACGTGTAGCATAAGACGTAAAGAGACACAGAGAAAGAGGCACACAGGCAGAGAGAGAAAGAGTGAGAGAGAGAGAGAGAGAGAGAGACGGGGAGAGATGGAGGGCGAGACACTGTGGGTTAGAGTTGACTTTCCGTTAAATCAAATAAACAGCTTGACGAAGCATTTGAAGAAATTACTTCAAATATGAGAACATTTAAAAATCGTGTTTCGTGTGCGCGCTGTGAGAGTGGAGAAAGCGGTGCTTGGAGACAAGGACTGTTGCTACATAAAACCTTAAGATATGTAAACATAATTAACAAAAATTCTCATTTATGAGCACAATTATTTTTGCCGACGTTTTGTAATTTGAGAAGGTCCCGAAGAGGGATTGGGGTAAAGGCAGCAGGAAGATGGAAGCTGAATGAAATAAAGGAGAGACAGAAGGAAACTGGCCTCAGAATGGTGGGGATGTGGAGAGAGACGGAGGAGAGAGAGACATAGAGAAAAAAAGGAAGAGAGAGAGAGAGAGAAGAGAAGGGAGGCAGAGCGAAGGAGAAAGTAAAACTGTAATAAAGAATGAGAATGTGTACAAGAGGGAGACACAGAAATAGAGAGAGAGAGAGATCGACAGAGGTCTATAGAAACAGAGAAACACAGAGAGTGAAATAGGGTAAAGAGAAAGACTGACTGAGAGAGTTAGAGATAGTCAGACGGGATAAAGGGAAAAAGAAAGATGGAAATACGGATTTACTGACTGAGAAAATATTCAAAATAGTGACAGAGCTAGAGAGCGAATAATACAGGGAGTTCCCAGAGAGATAAATAGGATAAAGGGAAGGACTGAATAAGAACGGAAGATTGATAGAGAAACAATAATACAGACTCTCTATCCATCTGTTCAATAGAAATAGTGTAAATGAGAAAATGTGAAGAAAGAGAGAGAGAGAGTGATTCTGAAAGATAATGAAAGAGTGAAACGTAGAAGGCGAGGAGATTCGAATGAGATGGAGATACAGAGAAGGGAGACGAGGAGTGCGAAAGGTATAAGCCGATATTATTATAGAGCAGAGCCATACAGAAATAAAGCGAGAGTAACCCAATTCGAAATCATGAGAATCGCATAGAAGCGTATTAAATAAAATACAATCCCCTTTCACCCTTCTTCTCTTACGCCATACGACACCCATGCAATCGTACTAGTAATGCAAGGGAACTCAGACACACTCTCGCTCCCCCCTTCTGCCTCCTCTCCGGCTTAATTAATAAGCAACTAATTCGCGAAGTGAGGCACTCTTTAAATGCTCATAGTATACTCGGCCCGACTGCGTTCCCTTGCATAACCCTGGCCATCCATATATGAGCTGGTAACTAAGACGCGCTCCAGCTGTACTCCCGAGCATGGAGCGGATTCCGCATCGATACATCTCAATGGCTGCCAACACTCATTAATGAGCTTTAATCGAATGATTAATTTCTTGAGAGCTAGCTGCTCTATTATGGCCATTTGAATGGCTGGCCATGGGACTGGTTTATCGGCCCACGCGTAGTTCTTACCTGGCGCTCGATGCCAAAGCGCTTCGATTGAAGAAAACTCTTTGGGCCATGCTGATTATTTTCTACTTTGTGAGTGACAGCAGCAGCAGTAGCTCTGTGGGCGTGGGTGTGGGGCATGGGGCGTGGGGTGTGGGGTGTGGCCTGGCTTGATTTGGATTGCCATGATGCCATGTAAAGCAGCAGAAAATCGATTAACATGGCTTTAATGGTCGCCCCACTCGCTTGCCAATTGCAACAGCATGTTGACAAGAGCGCGAAAAACTTCGTGCCAAGCAGCCACCTATATCGGCTGCCAGCGGTGTATATGCCGGAGCAGCTGGGTTTCCGGAAGTGCCGCACGTCTCCTGCCCCACCTCCGCTCGCCCCGCTCCCCCACAGGAAGTTGCTTTTGACTTCGCGCGTGCCGCGTGAGCCCGATTAAAGGTATTAATTGTGACAGATTTACGCATTCATTGTCTTGGGCGTGGCCCCCTCTCCCCCTCCACGTGCCCCGCTCCCCAAACATGGCGCACGGGCAAAAATTCAAATTTCGATGCTGTTAATGATGAGGCGAGAGGCTGCCTCAGCCTGAGCAGCTTTAAGTTGCTTAACTGAAATCCATTTTATTTTAAATACTATTTGAATGCAAGTTTCTTGTGACTTGTATAGAATTTATGGGAAAATACCGATCTTTAATATGCATTATATAGAGACTAACTACTACAAAAATCGAATGCATTATAGCCATATTATTAAATTAAATTGGATTTTATTCAAAATACTATTACTATATAATACTATATACATTTCTCTCGCAACTTTTATAGACATAATGATAACATTACCAATCCTTACTTCAATATATATTATATGGAGACTAAGCACTACAAAAATCGAATACATTATATCTATATATGTAATTAACATTATATCTATATATGTAATTACAGCAGATTCCGGTTATAACAACGGTCCCTTGAGCGTCGGAAGACGCTATAGCCGTGTAAATCTGCCCATATAAGTGTATCTGGGTACCAGAATTTTCGTCGCATTACGGACGCTATAAGCAGAGTCCTTATAGCCGGATTCTACTGTATTTAAAGTACTATATAAATCTCCCTTGCGACCTTTATAGACATTATGATAATAATATCAGTCCTTACTTTTCCATTCATTATATATACTATTTACTACATAAATCGGATATATAATTGACTTTAGCCATATTACTGGATCACTCTTGCCCGATGGCAGCTTAATTACATATTAACTTAAACAACTGCCCACGCGCCAGTTAAATGAGTATTCAGTGCATTACGTATGTATACGCAGTGTGGCCACAATTTAGCTGTCAGTGCGCATCACTCAGTTAAGTTTCAATTGAGCGAACGAGGCGAAACCGCAGATAAATTTGTTATAAACAATAAATTGCGAAATTATGTGCTTATACCAAAATGCGAATGCAAATATGATTTACACACACACACACACACACGAGATTCGGTAATGAGCTCCATGGAAATGCATGCCAGAGTGCATTTGAGTGGGCACTTGCCTTTAGCTGCCTCGAGGACCATGAGGTCAGGCTTCTCAATTAAGCTTTGTTTTTATTATTTGTGCAATTCTAAATTAGATAAATGAAATTACAATCCAACGCAGATGATGAATTCGTGGCTAGCTTTGAATGAGCGCTCGCTCCTGCCTGAAGTCATAGAACAAATTGCCATTAAATACATAGCTTCCAAATAACTGCTGACATACATTCATACATGTGCATATATGCAAAAGTGTCTCTCAAACACACTCTAAGAAAAAACTTAAAGAGCAATAGATTCCATTACTTCTCTAACCATTTCGTTAGCGATCAGCTACGACTGTTTGGTGGAGTGAAGTGAGGCAAAAGCTCTGTGTGTGTGTGTGCATCAGTGTTGCCAGTTTAGCCTATATCAGGCTAATGGAATAGCCAGGAATTCCGGCAGACTATGCAGAAGTTTTGGACCTCAAGAGAACTGTGCAGTAGAAGAAAATGCTGTCTAATCTTACAGTTAAAAATGTCATATAAAATATAAATAAATGTCATTATATATATAAATAATTATATATATACATAAATGAACAAACGTAATCTGATTTAACTATGAGTTTTTGTTTACCTATATATATCTGTTCGTATATACATACATATATATGCCTGTCTATCTGAGTCTGTCTCTCCGTCTGTTTCTCTCTCTGCCTGCCTAAAAAAATCAAAAGACGATGAAGAAAAATCAAAAGAGATCACTTAAGTTGTCTATATGCATGCAGCTGTATTCATTGAGTATTTATATTCAAGTAAAACGAAGTAAGAGTGCTTGAAGCAGCAGAGAGCGTTCCCATTGGTCAGTTGAGGCTCAACTGAAACGACCTCTACCTGGCACCGGGCCCAGAATTTAAGCACGTTTGAGTGTATGAGTGAAAGTCGTATATAAAGGGCAGCAGCTGCAGCATTTCTTCAGTCGCCCGGGCCTGGTGGGGGTCAGTCGTGCAGTGCAGTAAAGCTCCTGATCGTCCCGCTAAGCATTTGAAAATGGAGAAAATACCTAGAAGTAATATTTAGAGGAAATACTTGGAGAAAACACTTAGAGAAAATACTTACACAGCACCAGTTCCACTCAAGGCGCTCAGCAGAAGACGAAATAGAAAAGAATCAAAATCCTTTGCTCTGAGCGAGAGCGAGTGAGTGTGAAGATGTGAACGTAGAGAATAAGGCGACCAACTGTAATTTGCAAGCTATGATAAATATTAGATCGGAGATGAAGGAGAAGTCAACAATTTGGACAAGTTTCGACTCCTAAGAGTTAAGCCACTTTTTCATAAATTCTTGGTATTGAATATCGATATGTCAATCGAATATAGTTGATTATCGATACTCACATCGCTATTAAAAATTGTCAACGCAAATAATAATAATTGTGCACTGCAATAAAGAATAAGTAAAACAAATAAAATATACATATGCATAAGAATATATTTGTATATTTAATAAAATCTATCTGTCAGTAATAATAAAATAGAAATAATTTATTCACATTTTCTTTACATAAACTATGAACTTATTTTTATTAGAAATTATTTTTTATTTACATATTTGTTCACAATCTCTTTGTTATCTTTATATATATTGTGATTTTTGTAAAATTCCCAATTGGAAAACATTTATCTCAATTAGCATGTAAAAAAAAAAAAGAACTGCTCTATATGTAAAGAAATTTATTATTAAATTCTGACAATTGTAAATTGTAAATTGAAAACGACAAAAGCATTTAGCTAAATGCCTGATTCTCAGTAATGTGTGCAGCTCAACCGGCTAATACCCTGGCCAAGTCCGGTTTCAGGCCATTGCTATTTGAATCAATGGAAATTGGCCCAAAGTCCCCCTTGGCCTAGTTACCCAAAATAGCTGAACATAGCTTAATCATGCTGTACAAATGTGTGAGTGCATTGTACGAATTGTTGCACACGATGACACGGCTTATAAGTAGGTATCATGTATCATCATGTACCAACTACCATGCACCATCTACCATGCACCATGGCTGCATGTCCGTTCACAAACGTGCAGGATTCTCAGCTTGCCGTAGGATTGGCTTCGACTTTGGCTACGGCAACGAAAGTTTAGCGCATTGCAAATGAGGCATCGCTTCATGAATTAGCCACATGCATGCATGCATGTATGCATATACATATACATACACATGCGTGTGTGTGTGTGTGTGTGGGCTGTGTTTATGCGGCTCATTGTGGCTGTTGTAGTTGCAGTTGTTGTTCTTGTTGCTGTTGTTGTTGCTGTTGTTGTTGTTGAAAAGCGCAGTCCGTGCCAACACCCCGAGCAATGCAAATATATGCACAAGTGGATATAAGTACATTCAAGCTAGCATCAGCTGCCATTGACGAGGGACGAGAGATGCAACGCATGCAGCTGTAGTGGCTCCTGCTTGGTGTTGTTGTTGTTGTTGTTGTTGGACGTTGAAATGCATTTGGCCCGAGTCTGTTTGGCGCTCTGTATAAACAGCTAGCTGGCTGCATCAAAGAAAACCCCGCACGCATTGCCAAATGGCCAAAGTCTAGTTGGGCACCAACAGCATATGCCACGCCCACTAATGGAGGCCGTCGACGGCACACTGCACACTGCACCATCATCAGCAGCTAGCTAGCTCTGAGCCTTGAGGTTATTTCAAATGCGACGCAGCGAGACAATTCGTCAAGCACAATCAAGTGGGCAGCAGCTACGCCCCTCTCGCCCTCTCGCCCTCTCCCCCTCTCTCTCTACATATATATATGTATATTCATGTAGATGTATGCACGCCTCGCTGCATTTACCATGTCAACAGTGTTAAGCAGCATCATGCAGCCAGGGCTCCATGGAGCAGGACATTTGCTCCTCATAGTCAGGCAAAAAGCTCAGCCAGATGGAAAAATGACCGCATCGCTCGAAAGGCAATTAAAACGGAGCAGCAGTCGCAGTTTCAATCGAGAATTCATTTGACATTAAATGCGATAATATATATAGATATATATTTATATGTATGTATATGTGTATATGTATTTGTGGAGCTATGTATGCGCTATTGATGGCATGAATACATTAATTAATAATTAAGGCACATCGGATGGAAACTGCATTCAGCCAGCCTCAGCTAGCCAGACTCCTGGGACTTGTCGAACTCCTCGATGCGATTCTCCAGCTTGTCCACCTCGAGCCACATTAGCGAGGCATCGTGCCACGGCGGCGGCGGATCGGCATTGATGATCTCCATCAGGTTGGCGAGATGCTGGCGATCCTTGTCGATGGCCAGCTTGCGGCGCTGATGCATAACGGCACGCAGATTATCCATTTGACTGTCATCTGCCGAGCGCTTGACCCCAGTCTTGATGGTCTGACAGGCCTTGTTCCTTTTGTCGCACCTGTCCGACTCGACGCACACCTCGGATGCAATGTCCAGGTTGTGCTGGGGCTTCTGAAAAACGCTCCTGGGGCGAGCGATTTTGCGTGGCACCGGCACAGTTTCCAGCGAACTCAGCTTCACTTCTTCAGTTTGTGTGCCCACCGAGGCGGTGGCCCCAGTTGACTCCGGCAATTCAGATGGATTTGGGGCCGCATTTGGACCCGAATCTCCATGCGGTGTCGGGATAGGAGCTGGCTCCGGATTTGGATTTGGAGCCTCCTTCGGAGCTGCAGCCAGACTCAGAGTCTCAGCCTGATTCAGATTTTCAACCTGATTCAGAGTTTCAGCCTGATTAGGATTCGGATTCATTGAATCTATGATATTCATTTCCATCTCAAACAACTCAACTTGCTCAACTCAAAGAAATTCTTTTAATAGGCAATAAAAAAAAAAAAAAGAAAAACTTTTTTTTCAAACTTAATTTTCAGAGTTGTTTTCACTAGCTCAGCAAAAACTAAAAAGAACAAATGAAGCTTCGGCCGATTAACATCAAATTGGTGACAGTTAATCCATGGCTATCCTTGTTGAGCACAAATCATAACATTGCATCCAAATTTTGATAGATTCGCATGTTTATTTTGACAGGAGAGCATTTCGAAATCATTTCCGTTGCATACTTTTAAGAGCAAATAAAAAATCGAACGGAAAACCAAGCCAATTTGAACATTTTCTACAGTTAGCATTTTGATTTGAAAATCTATTAGACTTTTAATTAAACCCACTTTTAAGACTATATCCAAAAATCTAACGGAAATCCACATCTATCGTGCTGACTCTTAACATTGCCAGTTCCTTAGCATTGCCAGTTCCTTAACATCTCTGCTATAGCATTCCTGTCAGTCATTTAAATGACAGATGATTATTTAGACACGTAATTAAGAAAGAAATAGAGGCAAAAGTTGGCTGATAATGGAACCACTGCGATTCTTCACTTAGCTATACGCCCTATAGACATCCTACTCTCTTTTTCCATAATTCCATCGAACCCTTTTATAGCTGTAATTCCAATTACTTAGATTTATGACTGTTTTATTCAGTTCATTGTTGCGGCTCTATAGCTAGTGAGTGGGCCCAATATATAAATCTTAGATCTACAATTACTAACTTAGTTCTACAGTATATCAGGTTTATTGGATTCCCTGGCGATGCAGCCTTCGCCTGTTTCACGCGCTGCCCTGGATGCGTTTTCAGTCTATTCGCCTATCTGGAGTTGAGTCGCCCAGTGAGCTCGCCGAGGAATCGCTAGATGCCCTTTTATCCTCAAAAGCTAATTAGCTCCTGTCCATCTTCGTGACGCTTTGTCTTGCTAAATTTGAATTTCGTTGATGGAAGCGCACTCCGCAGAGCTCTTGAACTGATGGTGGTGCACCACCTTTCGGCCCAGCAGGAGGCCTCTTCTGCAGATATGTCACGCGACCACATGGCGATGTCATCTATGGCGATGGGTCACTTTAAAGGCCCCATAAGGCAGCTACCATAGCGTGAATATTAGCTGGTAGTTTTTTCTGTACGTGGAGTGTTTGATGTGGGAGCTCTATCTGTCCTCGCTCTCTCTCTCTCTCTCTCTCTCTCTCTCTCTCTCTCTCTCTCTCTCTCTCTCTCTCTCTCTCTGAGCTTGCTCTCTCTGTGCTCGCTCTTTCAATGCTTGATCTCCCATTGCGTGCTCTATATATGTATGCGTGTTCTCCTTAGCTCTTGCAATGCTGGCTCTACCAATGCCCGTTCTTCCTGGCTTTGCTCACCCCATGCAATCTCCATATGAGCTTGCTCTTTCTGCGCTCGCTCTTACAATGCTTGATCTCCCAATACTGGCTCTACCTATGCTCGCTCCTACCTATGCTCTACCTATGCGCATTATTTCTGGCTTCGCTCTGCCAATGCTGGCTCTATGTATGCGGAGTCTCCCTGTACTCGCTCTTCCAATACAGACTCTGAGCAAAGGCATTGCTAAATTCAAGCTCAAGACGGACGGACGTTGTTGTGATATGCTGTAGTACCTATATCAGAGTGGAAAAAGCCGCAAACTGCGGTCGCATGCAAAAATCAGAAAAAAAAACCTTGAACTTTTTTATAAGCATAATACGACTTACCATGCATGGTTAGTGATAATACGCCGTTGGAGACACGGAAGACCCTTCATCATATAAAATATATATACATATAATATACATGAACAAATGATAATATAATATCATTACTTATTCAATAGGCAAGCAATTAAAATAACCTAAAAAAATAAGCAGTCTGAGTATTATATTATATAATAAACTAGCTATATTTATGAAAAATATATATATTATTAATATGCTGGTTAATGGACGAATAGGCTATATATATGTAGATATACGTCTTAAAAAACAAATTTTAAAAAAATATAAAAAAAAACAATATATAATAGAATAAATAAAATATCATTTCTTTGTGAAATTCAATTTTTTACAATTCTGCACAATATTATATTTTGCTTATATATGTATATATATATATATATATATATATATGTATATATATTTAGATAAGTTGCAAAGCAACTCTAGCTAACAACTCTGTGCAGACAAGGTCCACCCTAAAATGCGACATGAGCCGAGAACGAAAGCAATGCAATAAAGATAAGTGGAACAAAGACAAAGACAAAGAGAACAAATATAAACAAGCGAATGCATGGAGCAGCACAATCAGAATCCGATCGCTGCCTGCTGTGGCTGTCAGTAGCGGACTTAGTTCGGGTTCGTTAGCACGCATCGAGTGGAATTCGAGGCAACAGAATGCCACGCCCAATACTCTTGATACATGGCGGAGCGGGAGACATTACCGATGCGCGCGTGGAAGGCAAGTTCAAGGGCATCAAAGACGCGCTTCGGGCAGCTTGGAAGCATCTTGAGCCGGGTGGCGCAGAGACGTCGAGCAGCGCATTGAATGCCGTGGAGGCAGCAGTGCGCTCCATGGAGCTGGACGAGTCCTTCAATGCGGGCTACGGCTCGTGCCTGAACACCGCCGGCGCTGTGGAGATGGAGGCCAGCCTTATGGAGGGGCGGGAAATGCGTGCGGGCTGTGTGACCCTGCTGACGGACGTCATGCATCCGATTACGGTGGCCTGCCGACTGATGGAGAAGCGCCGGCATGTATTCCTCGGCGGCCAGGCAGCCCAGGAGCTGGCGCTGAGCACCGGCAGTGAAAAGCTGCCAGCCGGCGCCCTGGTCACGGACAGTGCTCGGCAGGCATTGCGTGAGTTCCTGGAGCAAGAAGCTAAGGGTCTGGACACCACCTTTGCCCGCACCGAGCTGGATGATGCCCGCACCGATCCAAAGGGCGATACGGTGGGCGCCGTTGCCATGGATGCGAGCGGACTCATCGTAGTGGGCACCTCGACCGGCGGCATCACTGGCAAGTGGCCGGGCCGCATTGGCGACACTCCGCTGCTCGGATGCGGCACCTATGCCGACAATACTGTTGGCGGCGTCTCCACCACAGGGCACGGCGAGACCATAATGCGCTACAATCTCGCACAGCGCATTTTGGGCGCCATACAGCACCAGGGACTCAGTGCTCAGGCAGCCGCCGAGAGGGAGTGCCAGAAGATGACTGAGCGCATCGGCGGCACAGGCGGCGCCATTGTCATCGATCACAAGGGCGAGGTGGGCATCAGCTGGACGTCACGGCGCATGGCCTGGGGCTATGTGCGCGACGGCATCATTCATTATGGAATCAACCACAACGAGGTATTTCAGGAGCCGCTGGTAGCCAAGGCGGAATAATTATGCAACTCTGAAGGAGTAATATGATATACATATGTATATGTATGTATGTATGTATGTGAATCAATAAACCATATATGTATGAATCCCAAACAGAGACATTTTTCTGAACATCATCTTTAACCATCTTTAACAATATAATGATAGAGACTAATGTACATACCATAGTACATATGTGTGTGGATTAATTCAAAATAAATAACAATTATCAATAATATTCAGTTTTACAAATTAAAGCTAAGGCTGTTCAACTCGAAAGTAAAAGCAGTCGAGGAATTGGCACTGACAAATCGAAATGATTTGAGATTAAAGTAATCTAGGCATTTATGTATGTATGTATATACTTTGGGATTTAAGAATGTATATAAGTACATACATATGTATATATATATATATATATTTATATGTATATATGTTGCCAATAATTAGCTCCATTACACGTATTTAGCTTTTAGATTGATAACAGCAGTGCCAGAGGTGCTCAATCTCCAACAATGCTAAAGACCCACGAGCCACAGCGACGTCAGACTGTTAACTTAACAGAGTCGTTGCATAGCTTAACATCAGACAAGTCTGTTATTAATTATCTTGCAAGTAAACTAATGCGAAATGCAGGGCAAGGCGGTTGGTTCTTTTAAAAGATTCAGCAAGTTAATGGACAGTTGACATGGACATGGACATGACATGGCAGACAAGCGGCCCAGGGGTCTGTGGTGAGAAGCGGCATGGAAAAACTGCTAGCAGGTGCCCTTCTCACAGTTGCTGTTGGAGAGGATTAGCGTATATATAAAGACTGGAAGCTCAGTGCTTTGATTACTGTACACGCACCCATTCAAGGAGCGATACGATGAGCGCCGTTGCCATGGATGCAAACGGGTTGATTGGGAGGGCACGTCGACTGGCGGCATCTCCGGCAGCTATGCCGATAATACTGTTGGCGACATATCCTGCACTGGCAATTCTTAATGGGATCCTTCACAATGAGGTATTTCAGGAGCCGCTGGTTATGTAATTGTCAACAGTACCTTCAATAAAACATAAAATACTTTGAATAAATTACGTTTAGTAAAGCACAAAATTAACTATATCTAAATAATAAAGGTCTAATGTATGTACAGTATTAAGAGGCTTAAACTATCTTAAACCATAGCTATAGTAACTATAAGCTATATAAATTCTACAAAATTGTTCATAATTCCCAGACTGAAATGTGGATTCCTTTAACTTGACAACTAACTAAAGTTATAAACAAATATGTCATAAACCTGAGACAGAATGAAAAATCGAGCATTTATCGCAAAATATGTGCAAGTGCCGCAACATTGCTGGGCATTGCTCCTATCATGGCGAGTTCAACTTAAAACTATTTCTCGCAGTGCCACTTAATCAATGTAATCAATCTGACCTATTTACACTTAATTTGGACAATCAGAGTGAGGCTGTCCATGAAATTTACAAATGAATGCAAGATTACGCTGCTGAACACTCAGACATTACGCAGAGATTGCACACGATCTTTGCCAGCCAGCCAGCCAGCCAGTGGCTAACCCTGGCCACCCCGGGGAGCCACCTCGCGCTGCGACTCGTGCGCTTCAGTGGTGCCATAACAGTATTTGGCCGCCTCATTGCGGTACTTGTTCTCATGCTCGACAGAATGTGAGTTAGTGCGACACTTGACCAGGCACAGCTCAAAGTGGTCCACAACACTGGCGTAGATATATTTCTGTGTGTTGTGCGCCTGCAGCACTTGCTCCAGCAGAGATCGCTTATTCGGATGCAGGCAACAGGAGACACAATATTCATAGACGCCGCAACAGTGTGATGTGGTATTGCAACTGTAGCAGCTATAGTAGCTAATCCCGGCCAACTCCACGTTGCAGCAGCCATTGACCAGCATCTGTTCCCGTAGGCATACGAATCCTCGCTCATCGGCCAGCAGCTGCTGCCCTTGCACCGAATTGCGACAACGTAAGTCGGGATCCTTGGTGCGATTGAGATGTTCTTCGGGCGGCAGCAATTGCTGCTTCCATAGCAGCGGGCGTGTCCGTTGTGGTTTATATTCATCGTAATGCAGCGCACTGAAGGCTCCCTCCTGTTGGGCATACAACAGATTGTTATGAATCCATTATTGATACCAATTCCCTATGCACGACTCACCTGATCAAAGAGGTTGCCGAATATGTAAAGGATGGCCAGCAGTACTAGAATTATATAAATAATGCGTCGTCGTAGCAATCGTGTGAGTGCGGCTGGCCACATCGTATGCGTCTACGGACATGGGCATCGGCATCATTGCCAGCGGTGTTTTCAGGCAGTTAGTTTCGTCAAAGCTGGAAGCGATGCTGTTTCTGCTGCGGCTGTCGTTCAGTGTGACAATTGCTTGAACGCTGTGCGCGCATTTGATTTTCGAATCTCTAACAAAATAGTTGGCGAAATATTTGCATTTGTTTTGGGCCGAACAGCTGTGCGCAGCGTTGCCACACATTGAAAAGTGAATGGCATGAACGATTACATTTCATAGGAATTATCGATTGTCTTCAAATAATTTAAATAAATTACTTTAGTATATTTAAAAACTACGATCAATTTTTTTATTTTGTATTTACTTTTAATCAATTTATGGTATACAAAATTGTTGTGTTTTACATTTTTTCTTTTAAGAGTACAGGACACATTATCCTTTTTTACTTAAACAATGGAATTTATTTAATGGAAATTGACTTGTTAGAAATTAATGTAAGTACGATTAAAAATGTTTAGTTCTTTTCAGATTTTAGTCTACTAAGGAAAATTAAATTACATAAACGACTACATCTCACTAGAATTATCGATTGTCTTCAAATATTATAAATTGAATACTTTACCAATTGTTAACATTGTAATGTGTGAAAGCTACAAGCATTTAAGGATTAGACAATACTAGCATTAAACCAATTTTATTTCGTACTTTATGAAACAGCCTAGCAAAGTAAACATATGATTAGACTATCTATCTAATTTTCTTCTTCATCTGATACTGATTCTGCTAGTTCCTGCTGAGCTTTGTACGCTCTTATTTTCTCACGCAAAGCTATGTCGGGCTCCAGATGCTTAAGGCTTATGCAACTTTTGATCGGGCATCCTACTATTGGACAGCGTACACCGGAATTGCCTTGTAACATAGCATCCACACTATCTTTTTCGTAGTGATGCCCGCACTTAGTGTTTCGCACTGGATTCAACATTAACTTCTTTGACCATGGATCAAACATTGAGACAACTTTGCCACCTGGCTCAACAACCTCGGTCACTTCCTCATCATTTACGTTTGTTGCATTCGAATCACCTCCTACGGCAGTCATTCGTTGTTTAAACTCTTTATACTCAGCCGATTGCTTAATATTGGTGCGTTTCCTTTCTTCATTTTCCAAAATCTCTGCACATTTGGCATTTGCCTCTTCGACTGTTTCAGCTTCATTTAATACGTTCTGCAAAGCAGCATCTATGCGTTTGTGCTTGGCCTTCAAAGCAATTATATCTTCGCCTATCTTCAATCGATCCTTCATTGTTTCATTAAGCAATTTTTGTACATTTTCGCGGAAATTGTCATCACAACCTTAAAACAATTAGTTTGTACCTTAGATTTACCTCATCAAATATAATTAGATTTGTATACTTACAGTTTTCCAATGATCTTATAAACTCGGTGTTTTCAATAATAGTTTGTTTGACATCTTCAAGGCTACTTAAAAACTCCATTAGCTTTGTAATATTTTTGCTTCCAATCCAAATCTTAAACTTCTGGGAACCGATTATTCAGCTTAGGATTTAGTTATCGGAACTTATCCATCGGATTGTGAGCTGAACCAGTAGCTTGCTAATACAAGCAGGCTTTTCTTTAAAAGGAAATCCCATGTCAACAGAATACACAGCACAAGAAAATCATTTGAAATTTCAAAATATAGAATTGTGTACTATTGTTATTACCATCAGGAGCTTGTAGGCTTTGCTTTCCGAATTTATTTTAGCACAAAATTTTGTTTTTTTACTAATATAAATCCAAAAAACTACAAAATTTCTTGCAATATTCTTTGCGTTTGTATTTTAAAAAAAAAACCTCTCTACCATAAATTAATTAGAGGCAAAGGTAATCGTAACCACTTGCTAGCCGGTGCAAACGAAGAACTAGTTCACTTTGAAGCGGCGCGGAATCAATGTGATTCCATTGGTACACCAATACAACTCTAGATAGCAACAACAGCATTAACTGCTCAGAACATTAAGAAGTTGAGGTGAAAGTGGCAAAAGCCTCTAAGCGCTAGCGTGGAAGCAACGTAGCGGAGAACGGGGCTTTACAGTTGCAAGATAGCCAACATACCAACATAAGGAGACAGCTCAGCGGAACTGTCAAAAAGTCTAACCCGGAGAAAGGAGCAACAGCTGTTGCTAGCCACAGACACACACACATACACTTACACACAGGCACACACGTACAAAATGCCACACAAACAGTCTCAAAGCTGGATTTACACCTGCCTCTTGGTCAGTATCTTGCCTACATTGTGCGTGGGCTTACTCGACGGTCTCTACTGTGGCAAAGAAAACTGTTACGATGTGCTGGGCGTCACACGTGAATCCTCAAAGTCGGAGATCGGCAAGGCCTACCGGCAGCTGGCACGCAAATATCATCCCGATCTGCACCGTGGCGAGGAGGCCAAGGCGCTGGCCGAGCAGAAGTTTAAGCTCGTTGCCACCGCCTACGAGATACTGCGCGACGAGGAGTCCCGCACAGACTACGACTACATGCTGGATAACCCGGACGCCTACTATGCGCATTACTATCGCTACTACCGACGACGTGTGGCACCCAAAGTCGATGTGCGCGTGGTGATCGTGGTGACGTTGACCGTGATTTCTATAATCCAGTACTACTCTGGTTGGCAGCGCTACGATGCTGCCATCAAATACTTTTCAACGGTGCCCAAGTATCGCAACAAGGCGCTGGACATAGCCCGAGATGAGATCCAGGAGCGAGTGCACAATCGCAAGGGCAAGAATCGCAAGAGCCTATCGAAAACGGAACAGAAAGAGGAAATCGAGCGTATCATACGCAAGGTAATCGAGGAGAAAATGGACGTTCAGGGCGGCTATGCGAAGCCGACGCTATGGGATGTGCTGTGGGTGCAGCTGCTCATCTGCCCGTACACGCTGTTCAATTTCATTGCGTGGCACGCGCTGTGGTTCTGGCGCTACACGGTGCTCAAGCAGCCGTACGGGCGGGAGCAGCAGCTCTATTTGATACGACGCCACATGGGCATGGGTCAGCACCAGTTCAATTCACTGGAGGACAAACAGATCGAGGAGTATCTGCAGCTTGAACTGTGGAAGCGCGACAATTTTGTCGCGTGGAAGGCCGATCAGGACGAGGACATGAAGAAGAAATTGGCCGAGAATCCGCGCTACAAGGCCTACAGGCGCTACATGAAGAACCATGGGCCCGGGCGCATCACCTTCGAGGATTAGAGGACGAGTACGGCATCTGTTGATGTTCAAGTTTTATTGTTCCAACGTGTCGCCATGGGCCAGTCAACTGTAATTTATTGTTTTCAACGTTCTCTCATCTAGCAGACATCAATGTTTTTTTTTATTTTTTGTTTTTCTTTTAACAATTTGTTCGTGTCTAGGGCGAAGTTTTGCAATAGCTTAAAAATAAATTATGTTAATAATTCTGTTGGCCATTTGGACACTGCCCGCAGGGCAGCAATGGCCAAAGCGTTGACCTCGCCACCAAAACCGGTTCCAAAAACGTGCTTACTCGCGTTTCATCTCTCATCTTTCATCTTCCACATCTGCCAGCAGAAACGTGCGATAAACGCGAAACCGAAAACCGAGAACCTCTCTGTTTTTTTTCTCTCCTTTTTTAAAGTTGTTAGCTCAATTGTCCGAATTTTTATATAGCAAATATACAAAACACTAAATATTAAATAAAAACTAAATATTTAAATGAGAGTTACAAGTAAATGCTAATTGAAATTGTATTCTATAGTAATGTACATATTTGTATTTGTTGTAGGTCGGACAGAGTCGTAACATTTTAGAATTATTTCGAAATGGCCTTTGGAACATGTGGGACTATATGAATGTGGAGCACTCTGACAAATTCTTGCATGTGGAGCGCCAAATTCGTGTATACAGTTGTGCTTCAATCCACATAACTGAATCCGCATATTATTGTTGTTGTTGTTGCTTCTGTTTCTGTTTTTGAATATATGTTGGAAACCGTTGCCAACTCGACTTTATTTACACAGCTGATGAGCTCTAGACTAATTTGTTTTGCACGCGTGCTTAAGACCTAAAGGTGGGTCAATGGATTGGGTAATTGGAGTTGCGTGGGCAGGGGCTGGGGCTGGGGCTGGGGCAGGGGGAGAGGCAATACAACTATTCCATCAAGTATTTGGTATCGCTGACAAGTTCATCGGCATCGAGTAGACCGCTAACAAGCCCGAACGGCACCTTGACATCTTGAACGTTCTGGAATTCGCTATCGTCCAGCTGCGTATCATGATAATCGTCCAGATTCTGCTCAGCGTCGTCCGCATCATCGTCGTTGAACATGAAATCATTTGTGACAATGCACTCTTCCAGCACTTTGGCCTGTTCGCCGCCCGCCTGGTTGAGATTGGTCATTCCGATGCCAACGCTGACACTGTCATCATCATAGGAATCATCGTCTCCAACGGCCAAATCGCGGTCATTGTAATGCAATTGTGATTGTTGCTGCTGCTGCTGTTGTTGTTGTTGTTGTTTTCGCAGCTGCTGTTCCTGTTGATGCTGTTGCCTCTGCTGCTGCCCCTTTTGCTTCTGTCGCTTTCGCGTCGGCAGCCGCAGTGACATTCCCGTGCCTGGGTCCACCACCGGCTGTTGCTTCACATGCTGGGCTATATGCGTGGCCAGATAGGATTTCTTGGTGAATCCCTTGTCGCACTGCGTGCACTGAAATTGCTTTTTGCCCGTGTGCACGCGCCGATGCACGGACAGCACATGGGCATAGGCGAATCCCTTATTGCACACCTCACAGATGTACGGCCGCTCCCCGGTATGAATCCGTTCGTGCTTCTTGCTGCTGCCAAAGTCGGAGAAGCGACGTTCGCAGTAGAGGCAGCCATACGGCTTCTGTCCGGTGTGGACTCGCATGTGGCGACGCAGCTCCACATTCGAAATGAACGCCTTCTGGCACACTTCGCACGGATATGGCCGATCGTTGTTGTGCCGGCGCATATGCGCATTGAGCGCATGCTGATACTTGTATGTGTTGCCGCAGATGTCACAGATCTTGGGCTCTGTGGGGCGGCGTGGTCGCACTCCGCTGACATTGACGATTACATTGTTTCCGGTTCCACTGCTATTGTTGTTGTCGCTGCTTTCGATGTTGATGTTGTTGTCCTCGTTGTTGTTGTTGTTGTTGACTGGAGCACACTGAGTGGTCTGTGCCGGTAAATACTCGTCCTCGGCCAGCTTATAGTCCTGATCATCGTCGTCCTGCTGCTGGTCCTGCTCCTGGTCTTGTTCCAGTTCCTGCTCGTGCACGAACTCTTGATCCATCTCCAGATCGTTGTCCTGCTCCGATTCACATTGCTGCTGCTGCAGTTGCTGCTGCTGCTGCAGTTGCTGCTGCTGCTGCAGTTGCTGCTGCTGTTGCTGTTGCTGCTGCTCCGCTTGTTCGGCAGCCCAATCCACATCCAGTGCAATCACCTTGTCTTCCTCAGCATCTGAAGGGATACTAGCCACATCTTGCAGCATGAGTGTAGTTGCGCTATCGTCTGGCTGAATCATGAGTGCGTGCACCTCAACATCCACATCATCCACATCATCCACATCATGCACTTCGGCAACATCATCATCGTCATTGTAATACTTAACTTTTTTGGCGGTTGGCTCAGCTGGCAGACGCTTTACTCGGAGACCGGATGGCAACTTGAGATGTTGTGTTTGCTCCAATATCAGTTTATCGACGTCCACAAGCTGTGTGGCCGAAGCTGCCGATTGGAATATCTTTTGTGCTTCTAGGCATTTCTGTTGGAAACGATAGGTGATGCTTAGCTCGTTGCGGCATCCATGGCAGATTTTGTCGGGCAGCTGTGCGAGGAGCGGCCTCTCCAACTGCAATGCACTGCAACTACGTATTTTATCCACAATCTGCATATGAGGTGTCTCCAGATCTTGACCATAAATTGAACAATATCCAGGCTCCGCGCGCAAACATATTAGGCACACAACGCCTAGATCTACAAGCCCCGAATCAGGACCTAAATTACGCGGCATTGCTTAAAGTTTGTTATGAGTGCTAAAAACATAACGCCTTTACTCGCACACAAACACGATTGCACACATAGAAACATACAAATATGGATACTATATTTTGTGTGTCTATTTTGTGAGTGTTGCTCTTTTTGTTGTTAGTTCTTGTTAAACACTATCGATAGTTTGTTAGTTCATACCGTGATGATGATAGTCGATGCTATCGATATACATTTACCAACAGCCAGGCCAGTGACGTCACAACTTGATAATTTTATTATCTTTAATATTATCTCTAACCATATGGTTAGTAATATTATCATCTGTAAAGAGGAACAAATTCTTAAACAGACTTACTGGTGTGAACGGTCCATTCTAATAGCTAAACGCCACAATACCATGTGAACTAAACTACCTAGCGATGTGCTTGCGCACTTGCAGCTATTGTGAATTGCAATCGATAAAAGTATTTTGAACACAGCTGGCGGCGAAATTTCTGCCCAAGTCAGAAATACAGCTTATTGTTAACAATTTAAAAATCCACAAATAAGTTCTTTAAAAAATCTAAACTCCTTCAAAGTGTTCTCATTTCTTTAAATACGGCACGGACATGTCTCAAAATCCATTAACCGAGCTAACACACCAATTGGTCAAACATTTTGCAATCTATCCGGCTGGTATAGATGCGTCGAGTGTCATGCGGTACGGCGAGCTGATTCGCTACCACAACGAGAACCTCTTAGAAGGCGGAGATATGAGCATTGCGGCAAGTAATATAAACTGGGAATGCTTTTGCCAGAAGCATGGTCTACAGTTGCGTATGAACATCGAGCAGCTGCTGAATGACGAGAAAGCAAAGGAGGATCTGCTAGAACAAAGCAAGCAATGGATATTCCCGTTACAGAGCATCACAAAGTTGCGGAGGGAACGCTACGGGTTGCACTTCCATCGTGCTCCCATCATTGCCAATGTTCTCAATGCCATATTCACAAATGGCGAAAACTATGGCAAGCATAGGGAGCCAGCGGGTGATGGGGCGCTCTCGCCGAGCACAATTCACCTATCGCTGAATAACCGATTTATCAACCAGGACGAGCACAATTCAAAAGAGCTGCACAAATTCCGTGCCGAACAGCTGTACCTCATTTTGGGCCGTCTTTTGGAATATTCCAAGTGGCGTGTGGTTCAAGCGGACGATGTGACCGATGACACTTTGAGAGTCTGCGTTGACTGTAATAATGTGCCGCGTCGGCCCTCAGTCAGTCAGGAAGATAAGAAGACGGTGCGCGTTGTGTGCGGCCCGGTGCTGGAGCCGACCACGAAGACGGCGACAAGTATGACCAGTGGAGGCTACATGGCGTAAGTAGTCGGCGCAGTGATATCCAACTGCATTTCACCTGCTTCCTTTCATGTGCATTGCCGGCGGCAGACTGCGCTCCAATGATATGCTCCTAATAGCTATGCATCGCCATGGCGTGCGCGACTGCGTCAAGGGGAAAAACTTTGAGAGCCTGATGCAGCGGCTTGGCCATGCGGCTGTCATAGTGGATCTGTTCGAGGTGCGACACAGCACGGGCGCCACTGTGGTGCGCAGTGGCTTGGGCAGCTCCAAAGGTGCCAACTACATTCTCTACAATTCCGCACGCCTCGAAACCTTGCTGCGTACCTTTCAAGCCCAGGTGAATCTCGGCGTCTACGAATCTTTGCCGCCCCTGGACAAAATCGATCTGAGTGTGCTTGAGGATGAGGTCTGAATGCGTTTATATATATATGTATAATACGCCTGTATATTTTGATTAATATTCATCTCTTTCTGCACGCAGCTCGACTGGCAGTTGATTTATGGCTATTTGCTCACCTTTCCAAAGGTGGTGGAATCAACTCTAGCCCAACTGGAGCAGGGCCTATGCGCCGTCCATTCGCTCGTCCGCTACATCGTGGACTTGGCTAGCCTGTTCAGCCGGTACTATCGCCACAAACAAATACTCGTGCAGCAGCGCACCAATCTGATGCCCGTGCTCTATGCTCGGATCTATCTAGTCAAGGCTGTGCGCCAGGTGCTCAATTCTGCGCTGGCGCTACTGGGGATTGAGCCCGTAGATTACATGTGAGGGTGGCAAACGAGGAATATTAAACGAAGGCAGCATTTTCGTTTTGTATATTTAATGTACAAATGGTTTTGTATATATAACAACAATATATATTTTTATATTAACTATACACAAGAGGGCTTACGGCGAAAACAGGTGCTGCACAATCTGCAACCTGAATGACATGTTCTTTGCAATAAATATGTTAGTTGCCGTAGGCCTAAAACATATAATATACATGTATATGCATCATATTTAGTTTTAAATGGAACAAGAGCTTTACATTCTATATTTGTAACAGAAAATGTCAGAAAATCTACTGACACGAACTTAAGCTTAAATTTAGATAAGTTAGGCTTAATTTAAAGTAGGAACAGATGGCCAAAAATGCGTCACAAACTTATTTACAAACAAATGATAAAAAGAACAGAACTTAAAATAAAAAAGACTATGCTAAGGAACAAGTTGTTTTCCATAGATGTCAAGATGGAGAGAGGGAAACTAAAACGATAATTGTGCAAGGGTTTTCAAGCATAACGCTCTCCCTCTCTCTTTCCCCCTCCCGACATCCATACTTGTCTCTTACTCGCTCTCATCCATTCCGCTGCAACATATCTAAGGTATTCATTTGGCATTTTGGCTAGCAGCAAGTCACACTCACACACACACACGCACACGCACACTGATAGGAAGCTTGAAGCATAATACTATAGTGGAACATGCCAGGATTTGGGTGGCGCCCACGCATCATCTACTCTGATGCTTCTGTCGATTAAATTCGGTAATAAAGTCGATGTTCTGTCGATTGTTGAAGAACAGCTCCTCCATGAGCCGGGTGCTGCCCAGCGAGTTGGCCTTGGTGCCCAGGCACATGTTGTACTGCGGCGGATCCAACTGCACGTCGCAGCTAATGTCATGATAGATGTGCACCAGCGTCGGATCTGGAGCACGGAACACGCTGAGGCGTCGCCATTGTTCGGCTGCCTCGTTATAGTCGAGTGGCACTTCAGCCGTATTGGACAGAAAGCCATGTTGGCGCGTTCCAACGCGCACAATCTTCTCCAGAAATTTGACATCCTCCAGGCCCCAGCCCGTTATGTCCTTGTCGAAGCCATTGATGTCATCGTCCAGTATGTCCGACTTGTATATGGCACAAATGCCAAAGCCAAACTGCCTGAAGTATCCATTCTCATCGTCAATGGGCACCTGCTCGGAGGCACTGGCTCCATTCCGACGCTTCGGATCGTATTGGCTGAACACAATGGGCAGGTACACCTGTCGACCACGCTGCGTATGCATACGCACCCGCTGCAGTGTCTCCACATTAAAGACCATATCGACATCGATGAATAGGATAATGTCCTGCTGTCGTATGTACGAGGAGCGAGCGGCAATGTCCAAAGCGACGCCGCGCGAGAATTGGCCACTGCGCTGAATATAATTGATCTGCTGGTAGATGTGGCGGCTACGCAGCTCGTTCAGCTGCTGCAGATGATCGATCAGCTCATCCGGCTGCCCGAAGATGACAACCAGCAAATCGCAGTGCTGTGCAGCCACAAGGCAAACGCGTTCATAGATGGACAGAAAGCGCTGGAAGGTAGCCAGCCGGCCGGCAATAGGCAGCACGAAGACAATGGTGTCCGGCGGTGGTGTCAACAGATTGCTGGCCATGGTAAAGTGGCTGCTGAGCCGGGCCATGCCGTTGTGCAGCAGGCTGCCGAACAGACCTGCAGCAGACAAGCCTTAAAGACAAATTGCACGACGATAAGCAAGATAATATGGGAAATATATACATATACATATGTATATGTACTCACTTTGCTGCAGCGTCACATTGTAGAAATCCTCGTCCAGCTCCTTGACAAAGATGCCGGTGAAGGCGCGCTGCACATACAGATGGCGCCGCACAGGCACTGTCATCTTTTTGCCGCGATACTTTTTGTAAATCAACAGCAGGTCCAATATGAGATCCTGGCCATGCAGTGCATCCAAACGGTGGTAGCCATACAGTAATTCCCGAAACTCAATCACGCGGCCACGTTGACGTGAATAATAGTTGATGTTCTCCATGACCTCCGTGATGACATCCTCTAGGCCTTCGCGCATCGCCGAGTCAATTTTCTGCTTGGGATTGGCCGAGCCCGCCGAGTACAGGCTGCGTGCTATAAAGGACCAGTCCAGCAGATCCGCTGTGCTCGCGGGCACAAATTTATTCAGCTCGGGACTAATGCCTGCAACAGTCGATAACATGAAATTAAATTCGATAAGATATGTAAATGCAAGTTCGATAGCTTGTGCATATGTAAATCACAATAATTTCGATTAGTCAATCGATAACTTGCAAAAGCTTGGCGTTGAAGTTAAATGGTTTTGCGTGGGCTTAGCCCCGAGAGTAAACATGATGTACGCAAATGCTCAAAAGGTAGGCATGGCTGGAATGAAAAATGTCCCAGCAAGCATTTGACAACATTAACATTGAGATTTCTATACAATCAACTACCTCGACACGATTTTTATGTAAAGCATGTGGCTAACAAACTTGCCCCACCTGGCATTGATCACGGCATTAGTCTGCTGTGATGCATTAGGTTGTGGCAGCGAAAGGGCAACTAAACCCAACGACGTTGAGCGTGATGCCAGCTATTGGATGGACAAGGCGCAGCAGCAGCTGGCTGTGCGTCTGATGCGTAGTCGAGAGGCGGGTGGGGGCGACAGTCGAGTAGCCAGGAACGTTATAATGTTAATGGGCGATGGCTTGTCTATTACCACGTTAACAGCGGCACGAATACTAAAGGGTCAGCATGCCGGCTACAGTGGTGAGGAGGCGCAGCTGGCCGTGGAGCAGTTCCTGTATTCGGGTCTATGTAAGACCTACTGCACGGACAGCCAGACGGCGGATTCGGCATGCGCGGCAACAGCATGTCTCACCGGCATAAAAACCAACTACGGCAGCATTGGACAGAGTGCTCAAGGTGTCAAGGTGGAGTCAATTCTGAGCTGGGCTCAACGCGCCGACAAGGCAACTGGCATTGTGACCACCACGCGACTGACGGACGCCAGTCCGGCGGCCGGCTATGCGCACGTTCAGAGGCGTTC